AAACAACTTTATAATTCATTAACATTGCTTGTAATTGTGATATTTAGATCTTTTATTACATGGTATTCCTCATAGTATACAGTTTCATCCAGTACACATTCCAGTTCTATATTCGTATATCATATTGTGTTTTATGTTTCTGTTTTATTATGCCTTGTGTACCTTTGTGTTTTATACATCTTGTATCGACTATCAAATGTTCAATCCGTGTTCAGCTGATTGTGACTGTTTTCTCAAAAGAGAATGTTCAAGATGTTATTTACAGTATTGCACACGTATAATATATTTTACACGACAAAAAGAAAAAAATTAAGATATATTATATCCTTGTATTTTATAGTTTTATTGAGAGAATTTGTAAAAAAAAAAAAAAGAAAAAAAATTTGCACAAGCTTACAATTTCATTCTCGATAAGAATAAGAACAGATCAAATCTTTTAATGCGTGGCACTTTTTAATAGATACTTTTATTCGAATATAAATTAAATATATATATATATATATATGTATATATATATATATGTATATATATATATGTATATATATATATATATATGTATATATATATATATATTGCTTTTGTGTCGAATGTCAAATAATGGGGATTGAATCAAAGACATTAAAAAATAAAAAATGTAAATAAAGTTCTCCTTGAACATTGGATACAATGAAAACTGATAATGTGATAACGAAAGAAATCTTAAAAGAGACATTCGTGCATGTTGATTTAGAAAATATATTTTTTATGAAATCATTTAATGAATACTTTGAAATAATATTATGTTACACATTGTCTTTTATTGTTATACATTTATTGCTTTTTGCTAATAAAAAGAAATTAGATTTATATTTAAAAGTATAGTTAACTTTTACGATTATAGACTTGCTCTAAAATTTTTATTTGTAAAATAAAATCAGGAGTATATAACAATGATCAATATTTTGTTGTATTATTTTTATATATGAGATATAATCAATATATATAATAATTTTAAGCTATCGTCGTTTGTGCCATACTCATATGTGCAAAATTTATAATCTATTTTTTTATGTTTGACATTTAAAAGTAATAATTCATTTAATGTTTTTTGTTAAAAAATCAAACGATGGTGTATTTGTTAACCATATCTTATATATATATAAAATACATTCCAGTTTTCATTGCACAAATACAATTTTCATAACGAGACAAAATTATATGGACAAAGAAGAAATATGTTGATAATGTTTATTAATCGTGATATATAATGGAATAAATACATGTTTTAGCATCGATAAAAGAAAACTATCACAATCAACTGAAATTTTGTCTATATAAATCACGTGTAAATATATTCTCTCACATACTACATAAACAATAATTAAAATAAAAAAAGAATTTAACATGAAAACAAGATCAGAACAATTTAAATGTATATGAACAGAACATTGTGTAATTCTTCTTTGTATTATTAGAAAAAAAATGCCTGAATTCTCAACAGACACAATTTTAGCAAATTATTATAAAAAATAATATCTATCGCTGACTAATAGAGATTGTTCGTGCTACATATTCAACTGTAGAATACTTTAAATGCAAAGTATGACAATTTCTTTAAATGAAAGATCATAAATACGTCACAGATACATAAAATCTTTAATCTTTAAATGTATAACCAACTTTATCATAGTCCTCCATAGCAATATGTATATGGAACATCAATTTTGCAATCTTCGTAATGAAGAAATAATAACATAGAAAATAGTTGAGAAATAACTTACATTACTAAATAATTTTTCACTAGTAATTTAAATCAATATTGAAAATAAGAATACAAAAAAAGAATGTTGATTTTCAAAAAACACATAGTATGTTCCATTAAAAAAGTGAGATAAATTTTGACATGAGATATATAATTCATGTTTTTATTCCAAAATATTTCTAATTAGATCTCTAAAGAGGAATTTTTTTTATTTTTTATTTTTTTTTTCTTTTTTTTTTTCTTTTTTCTTTTTTTTTTGCATTATGTTAGAGAATAAAACGAAAAACAAACTGATTAAATTATATCTATATCTTTAACTTCCTACATATAAAATGTATAATTTTTTTGTTTTAATAGTAAAAATAAAAACTGTAAGTAGTAATTGTTTTAGTTTATAATTAACGATTATACTTAATAAATAATAATCAATATATTATATAAGAAATAAGAAATGATTTTGTGCATACTGTATCATAAAAAGATTATATATTTCCCTATTTAATATAGTAATAACAGTATACACACTTCCTTAATGATTTCAATAATGATTTCAAACGATTAAGCATTTAGTTGATAGTAATTTAAACTCATTACTTTACAAAAAAAAAAAAATTAAGTCATATTATATACATACCAGTATTTAGAATAATGTTATTAACTCACTTTTTTTTAAACTCAGAATTTTAAATAGCATGTATGAACAAAGAATTTATTGTCATAAAATTTTATACGTTACATATATAATATTTTGCTAACAATAAAATTTAACTTTACATTGTACACAATTATTTGCCAATGAGAAGTATTATAGATGTATATTGTATTCTTTTTTCTTTTTGTTATATATTAAAAATAAATTTCTTTAAATTAATTCTCCAAATAGAAATATGACTGAAATAATTGGGAAAGATAATTATGTATTTAGTAAATTATAAAATTATGTTTAAATTTCAAAGAGAGAAAATTGTTTTTTTACTAGTAATTAACCTTATGAGAGAGAGAAAGAAAGAGAGAAAGAGAGAGAGAGAGAGAGAGAGAAAGAGAAAGAATGAGAGTGAGAGTGCTTAATATATCGCAATAAAATAAATAATAATATAATAATAAGTTTTTACATTTCTTCCATTAAAATTGTTCTTTTAATAAATTGTATATTCTTCATATATATTGTAGCACGAATTCTCTCTCTGAGTCAAATTGTATGTATGTACTAAAAATAATTTTTTGTTTTAGTCTGTAATCTCAATGTAATCTGCTGAATACCAATTTTATAAAATTAATTTTCAATATTTTGTAAATATTCCAAAGTTATAACGCGAACAAAATTTAGATACAAGCAGTGACGTAGACAATTAATCATAAGCATATCATATCAAATATAATTATTATTTTACGCTTATGAAAGCTTGTCTTTTCTCACTTATATCTCTTTACATGTGATCATTATGTTTTGATAGCCGCATATGTGTTCGCTGCTCAGTTGAAAAGATAATATTTTAAAAATTGATACCAATGTTTTAGCATTAAGTTATATATTATCTTATTATTAATTGACACTATAAGTGATGCTTTTATATAAAAAAAAAAAACTTTGCAGCGAATACAATAATACATACTTTAATACAATTTTGGCTTTAACTAGGTAAAATATAATTGTTATTTTTAATAAGGTACTTGTTAATCAATTATGCAATGTTGTAAAAATAAGATATCCACATTTTGAAAACAGATCCTATAATATAGTAACAGCCACTTCAAGAGAAGTACAATATAATAGCATTAGATTCTATTAAATACAATCCAAAATAATCTAAAATGTTTATATCAAATTGGGCAATAATTATGTATATTATTATTACAATATTATTTTAGATAGTTTTCTTTATAAATAAACAATTATATGTCTATATACTATGTGTCTAAAATAGACTTTTATTCTAAAAACCAAGTGATTACTTTCAGCAACAAAAAAAAAAGAAATATTACACTATGTCTTTATATAAGAACCGTCCATCTCTATTCTTTAAATAATCAATGTCAATTCCACAATTTCAGAAATATTGTTATATAACAATATATACGTGTACAGCATTGGTAAATATAAAATCTAAATTAATACACAAGTATTTGATGATGAAGAGAGAAAAAAATATTTATAATTTATTTATAATTTATAATGGACTTAGTTTAGACTCGTGAAGTGGCTTCTACTATAAAATATATCACTCTTTTAGACAAATTAAAAAAAAAAATTAATTACTCTGTGTACATTTATAGAAAACATACTGCAATCAATGTCCAATCGATAAGATTTCGTTTTCTTGAACTTTTAAAAATACATCAGCATTGTGAAATTAAACACATCTTTCAAAATGATATGACACAACAATGTGTCATATGAATAAAATATGTAAAAATCAATTTCATTATATAACAGATTTCAAACTAAAGTACACTATGAATGTACATTAATGCAATAAGTTTTAATAAAATGATCATTACTGATCGTAATATTTTTTTTTTTCTTTTATTCCACTAATTTTATGTATTCAAAAATGCAATTAAAATATTAGTAAAATAGATAAAACAATGCTGGTGTTAAAACTTTCTTGACTGTATTTTATATACAGCGCCAATATTTAAAATTAATCTATAAATCGTGATTAAATGTATCAAAGTGCTCATAATGTATAATAATACTATGTAAGGATAGGTATATATTCTTTACATTATTATAATTTTTACTATTGCTATTATTACCTTCCATTATTATCTATAAATACTGACTATTAATATGTTTCCATAAAAACATTAATTAACGAAGTATTATATGGATAACGTATATAATTCTATTGCAATAATCTTTTTTTAAATTACAACTGTTTTAAAGCGATACTGCACAAAAATTTATTCTCATTTTTTAATTATAATGTCAAATAGGAAAATGAAAATGAAATTTATAATTTTGGATAATGGTTATAAATTTATAAATAAGGAATGATTTAATTTGATTCCCTTCATTATTTAACTTTTATTAAAAAGAAAACGATTTTTATATATAAATTTTCTTTTCTTTACATATTATAAACTTTTGAATTACATTCAATAAATTCAATCAAAACAAAAAAAGAAAAAAAAATGTGAATATATAGTAAAGAGAAAATTAATTTTTATTTGGAATTATATAAAAATTAAATTTTTTTATCATAAAAGAAAATATATTAAAAATAATAGATGTTTGTTAAAAGAAAAAAAAAATCACTCTACTGTAAAGAGTAATATTGTATATTCATCTATACATAAATGTTGTGCTTCAACTGACAATGAATATAATAACTTGCATTTACTTATAGTCATAATATAGAATTTGAAATAGTAGCAAAATACATTCTGCCAGTTGTAATACAACAAAACATTTTAGCATTCAACGTATTGCGCGTATAGATTACAGAATTATATATATATATATTATATATATATATTATATATATTATATATATATATATATATGATGTACATTATAACAAATGTTTTTACATTATTACATTGATAGATAAGTAATAATAAGTGATATTATACAAATGCATTGGTATTTGCAAGAATGATAGTTTATTGTGTGGGGGAAAACGTAGTTGGGCTTAATATGCGACAATGCATCTCTCTTATAAGAGGGACAGTGTATGCCACACATTGATCCCACCCAGGTAATCTCCAAGCACTTTCGCGTGTATCTTTTCGTGATTGAAGATCTTTATAGCCTGAAAATAAAGAGAAATACATTTTTTCCAATTGTACATAAGACGCTTCCTAATATTAAACTTACACCAAATATGATGAACATTGTACAGCCTTCCAATTTGTGAAAAATAACCAGCAAAGGGTTCATCGTTATTACGTCTAAAATTAATAGCTTTAGCCCAATTATTACCCCATTCGATCATTGTACCAGGTTTCAAGCTATAACTTCGTATTTCATATATGTTTGGACCTTTACGTTTTTCGAGAGGCGGCCAATAACTAAATGCCAATAAATATTGTAGGTGACGAGATCTTAAATAATTTCCACGTTCCTTGAGTAAAAGTTGATAATTCTGATACATACGAAATGCATATTACATAAAATAATCAATTAATATGTTTAACTGAATTGTCAAAGTAAATCAAATTATACCTCATCTTTGGAAAGTAAAATTTGTGCATGATCAATACGTTCATAGCCACCAGTATATTGCCAGAGATGTAAAGCTTGATCTAAATCTCCTACTGCAACAGTCCATGATCCAACTAATTCACATTTCAGATCAGATTTTTTCGAATGTATTAGATTAACATTTTGTTCGCTGAAAATAAAATTAAATAGAAGATCACGTTATATATACACAAACATACACATGCATAAACATACACATACATATACATAGATACACACGTACATACATACATACATATATATATATATATATATATATATATATATATATATATATATATGAGTTAAAATATATTCTCTATTAAACAAAATTTCTTAAAATTAATCAACCATGAAATAAACTGATAATATAAAAGGAAATTATAAGTACATATTTAAAATATGTTAATGAGTCATTAAATCGAAAGGTCAATGGATGATAAAATGTACGACGAGATCATGCCATTTTACTTACTAGTTAGTTAAATATTTATCGATGGAATCAGGACGGACATTATGCGTATGTAAAGCATAAATCACATCCTTGTCCGAAAGCATTCGCGAATGAGACTCCTTCGTTGGTTCGATCTTTCTTACCAAAAGTTTGCTTATCCATCTCTTACTATCTTGTCGTACCAATGACCTTGCCAGGGACCTAAAACATACGATTTGTTGGCTATTTTGAAAGCATCTTTATTTGAACTTCATTTTAAAATAAAGTATCAGACATAAATAATTAAAATCAATATTTGTCTATCTTTTTCCTTCTTTTTTCTTTTTTTTCCTTTCTTTTTTTTTTTTTTGTTTTTTTGTTTTTTTTTTTTTTTGTTTTTCTTTCTAAACAAAATACTCAGCTAATCTCGTCCTACCGAGTGTTAATAAACAATGATGTTTTTGGCTTGTCGATTACCGTGACCTGCACGGTTCTGAATCTTCTTAAAACGGCAGCCATTCTTATTGGATCCTCGAAAATAGATATCCACCACTTCGCGCCCAATAAACTTCAGAATTAAGCTCGTTTAACCTTGTAGTTAAACACGGCTCGTTAACGAGAATACACTGCGTGAGGCCGCCTAAATACGCTGTTGATTTAGTTTTATTCATAATCTCCATTCGTGATTGTTTCTTTCTACACGGAATGACTGCTGAACTTACGGCCATCGAAATTGTTGTTATTTGATTAATCTCCTATGCCACGCTCGCTCTCTCTTTCTCTCTCTCTCTTTCTCTTTCTCTTTCTCTTGCCTTTCACTTCTATAGCGCGTGCGCTTCTCTTCTGTGTACGTCAAGAGCTTATCATTTACTCATTGTTAGTCTTTTCTCCGTATACATAAGTAGTACAGCAAATCGTAACGAGAGGACGAGAAGTGGGGGAGAATCACATATCTCGTACCACCTCCTTTTAAAATTCTTTTCCATTTGACTCTCCACATATCTCGTCGAGTGACTTCGTTACTCTTCGACTGTGGTTTTTACAAAACGAATTTTCTTCAACAACAGGTTACTTTATTATTTACATTTTTTCTGTTTTCTTTTCTTTTTTTTTTTTTTTTTGTAACGTATTAAGCGTGTATTATTAGTATTATTATTATTCATTGGAAAATCTGAAAATTAGATAAGGTTATGTAAGGAGGACAAAATTAATATAATTATAATTGTATTTTTATCATTTATTTTATTGGATCTTAATAGAAACTTACCAAAATAATTTTTATAGGCTTTCTTTAAAAACGAATAAATCTCTCTCGAAAATCGGAGAAGGAATATATATATATATATATAATTGAGATTATCGTTGGTGTAAAAAAAATTTGAATTTGGTTACAAATTTTTCGATTCCTACGCTGGTCATTGACGATACAATTTTTGAAGAGGAAACTCATAATTAAATTTTGTATTTTTTAGTTTTTATTAAATAGAAATTTTTTATTATTTTTCTTTTTTTTTTTCTTCTTTTTTTTTGTAGAGGAAGAGCAAATATTTATTTTTCCTAAGAAAATTAATTCATTTAGAGGATATTACTGCTTTGATCATAACCTTAAACTGAACTTACAATGTAGATCTTAACCAATCGGAGAGCTTCAATTTTCTTCTGCCCAATGCACAATAGTTCAAAAAAAATTGTTTTCCTAAAATCGTTGTCACTTGTCAGTATATATAATTTCTTTTCGTGGATCAATTGTCTTGTTCGATTGTCGACGCCTAGTTAGGGGGGATAAGAACAGGGTATACATTTTGAGTGTTTTATAAATACATTCTGGTACATACGTAAATATCCATTGGTAATTAATGAATAGTAAATGTAACCTGATAATAAGTATTTACGTAATTCTTCGTATTTTGACTAATATAAATATATTTTCCTTTATAAATAAGATTTTAATTCTGCAAACAATTCCAATTATCTTGTATGTTTTTGATAAATTTTTCTTTATCAAAAATATATAAGATCTATTTTGTCTTTTTGAAATTATTGAAATATAATCGTGTAATATGTAAGTATATTCTATTTGGCTAAAAGAATTTTTATAGTATAATATTAATATTTCAGTCATCGAAAAAATAAACACACAATTTTGTTTATACACACATATAGTATCGGATAAATTCTGTATATCTGTTAAATTGAAAGTTATATCTATTATCAGCGCACAACCCCAGTTAGTAACAGGTTCAATTTTTCAATGTTGTCCTTGTCTAGCTGTGGGGCTAGTGAACTGATATGATACCGCAATTATACCTTGATCATCTCTCCTCTAATTGCGACAAACAACTTTCATATGCAATATACCGTTTGGATATATAACAGGCCCCAGACTGCTAACACTAATGCAAATGTCCAATTTTCGTTGCCATTTTTCAAATGGTTTCAAATCGATTGGACTTTGGCCTCATTGGTGAAAGTGGTGTGGCCACACAACAAGCTTGATACTTAGAAGAACGTTACGTTTGGAAGTTATTGTTAGGTTCAAATGTTGTTGTTTTTTACTATTGTTTATAATTAAAGATAATTTGTTATCTATCTCACAAAATGTATAAGATCTTTATACACCTAAAAAATAAGTTTTCCAATTTTAGCTCTAATATAAATACTCGGACATTATAGTGTTTCGCAGATGTCTTTTTCAATGGATATTGATAAAGAGGAAAACAGTACAGAAGACTTTCAACTGGAGATGCAAAGCGACATGGATAAACCAGATTTCATGGATACGAATTATCAAGAAAAAGATGATGTTCTGTATAATGAGGATGGCACTCAAAGTATAGAGTCAAACATTGATCAAAACAGTCATGAAAAGATGTTTGATCAAAGTCATTGTAATGATACAATGGAAGATGATGTTAATCTTCTAAATGCTGCTATCGATGCAGTTAATGGTTTGGTGAGCCAGGAAGCAGAATCTAATGCTGATGACATTGTAACCAATGATGATTTAAGACAATTTGACGTGTTGGATGATCTAGAACGACATCCAGATCAAAATTGTTCAGACATGGACTCTGATACAAACGAGAGCATGGATTCTGATGTACCGGATGAAGAAATCGAAGCTATGCTTGAAGAAGGTAATTTTTAATTATTTCTTCCTTTTTTTTTTTTATAAATAAAAATAATATGGAATAATGATCATTAATTTTATAATGATCATTACTGTAGACAAGTGTTACATTTTTAAATCTTTGAAATTAATGAGACAAAATGAAAAGTATTAGATATTTTAAATACTATATAATTAGCATTACTTTTTTCAAAAAAATAAAAGAAAAAAAAAATTAAATTCTTGGACTTTAATTGCATAATTTCTTATACTGCAAAATATCTCTCACAAGATATATACGCTTATATCTTGTATCATATGGATATTAGTTAATTATGAGAAGAGGAAGTAAGATTACTTCTTTTTGTACTTTTAGTACAGATCATGCAGCTGCCAAGTATCTTTTTTAGTTAAGTATTATGTACTAGGTTTACCAGAAGAATTTAAAGGAAAGAGGAAAGACAAGAAAGATAATATGCCATATGAAGAAAAGGAGAAACTTGTTTTAGATGGTAAGCTAAATAGATTCACAGAAAAATTTATTTCAAATGAAAGCACTAATGATAATAATCAATTATTTCTTTTAGAAATTGGACATAATCATTTTGACGTCTTGCCCGAAGGTTGGGTACAAGTAACGCATAACAGTGGAATGCCACTGTATTTACATAAACAAAGCAGAGTTTGTACATTAGCCAAACCATATTTTCTTGGTCCAGGAAGTGTAAGAAAACATGAAGTGCCTGTTAGTGCGATACCTTGTCTTCAATACAGAAGAGCATTGCATGAAGAAGAGGAAGAAAAGAAGAAAGAAAAAGATCGCGAGCCCTCTGCAGAAGTTTGTAGTCTTCCTAGTGCAAAAATAGAGACCATTCAAGAGAACCGAGCGGCTCATTCTTTAGACAGCGAACAACTTAGAAATTATTGTCAATCACTCTTCCGTTTTAAAGCCATTAAAGTAATGAGATTTCAGTAAGTGCATTTTATTTTATTATTATTAATTAATTTATATATATATATATATATATATATTTTTTTTTATAACAAATTTTTGACAAGAATTTGTCTAACAATTTTACATAATTTCCTAGGTCGTGGTCTGCCCGTAGGAAGTTTACAAAAAATAAAAAACATCGTAAGCAATTGGAACGTCCAACTTTGCCCGATGGTACAAAGTTAATAACATTCCCAGTTACGAGTACGGGAATGACGGGAAGCAGTGGTAATACAACAGGAGAAGATAATGGTACGCAAAGACCGTCGAAACATTGGATAATGAATCCATCTGGGAAAAGTTATGTTTGTATTCTTCATGAGTACGTACAACATGCCTTAAAGAAACAACCAACATACAAATTTAAGGAACTAGGTATAAAATTATAATTAATATTTAAGCTTTCATGAATTTATGGAGACAATTAATTTCATTAAAAAGAAAAAAAAATAATTAATTATAGAAAATGCAGCAACACCGTATTCCGCAGTAGTTTGTATTAATGACATGGAATACGGCAGTGGTTTTGGTAGTAGTAAGAAACAAGCAAAAGCTAATGCAGCACGGAAAACTCTTGAAATATTGATTCCACAAATGAGAGATAAGATCTCTGGAGAGAATGGTGATAATGGTTCTGGTAATTCTAGTCGAACGATTAAAGCATCAAGAGGAAATTCTGATGCAGATTTGTCATTTTTTGATGAGATCTCAATAACGGATCCACGGGTAGCAGAATTTTGTGCTAAAACGACCGAACCATCTCCTCATGCAATTTTGATTACTTGTCTTCAAAGGAATTATGGTTTGGGGGATATGCATATTAATTATTCCGTAAATACATTGAAACACCAACGTAATGAATTTACAATGCGTGTTGGAAAACACGAGGCTACAGTTGTAAGTGTTTTGATGAAACATTAAACGAAACTAATGAGGAATAAAAAAAAAAAAAAAAAAAAAAAAAATAGGATATATATATATAATATTAATATTGAAATTTGTATAGGTATGTCGTAACAAGAAAGATGGAAAACAAAGAGCAGCTCAGGCAATTTTACAACTAATGCATCCACACATTCAATCCTGGGGTTCCTTGTTAAGGTTATACGGATCACGGAGTGTAAAATCCTTTAAAGAAAAAAAACAATTAGAACAAGAAATAACATTGTTGCAAGGAAAGGCAGCGGTTAATCAACCGAATCATGCAATATTAGGTAAACTTAGACAAGAAATGCGTAAACTAGCTGAACAACATAAAGCAATACAACCTATCGGTAAATTTGTACCATTAGATTTGCCCACTGGTTCTTCAGCTAATTTAAATAATGTAGATTTGTAGTATACTAGTCAAATTTAGGGAAGTCTATTGATATACGAAAAAAATATATTAGATTGATTGATTTTAGCAAAAAAAAAAATAAAAAAAAGAAAAAAAGAAAAAAAGAAAAAAAAGAAAACAAGAAAAAAAAAAGAAAAAAAAAATAGGCTACATATACGATTGAAATGTATCATGAAAAAAATATAAAGGTTCTCTTTTAACAGTTCTTGTATTATAAGCAAACGTGATATATATATATATATATATATATATATATATATATATATACACACCATACAATTTTTTATATATCATTTTTAAAATACACTATCTAATCTTTACTTAACTGAAAACTGTAGTTTCTACATTTTTGCATTGTTTCTTTTATAGAACAATATTATTAATAATAAAGAAAAAAAAAACTTGCTTTTTATATCTCTATTGTAATAATTATACTTAAGATACAATATCAGAATGTGTATGATGTAATCAAAAATACTTATAAGTATCAAAAATAAAAATAAAAAACACTAGTCATACATAATCAGTTCATATCTACTCTAGAATTTTCCATTTTTTTAATAACATTTCAAATTAAATGAACTGCCTCAATGAGAATCATTGAAAATATTTTAAGAGAATTTATTGTAAAATCATTGTTTTTATTTACGAAAGAATACAATATATATATATAATATAATATATAATATATATATATATATTTCTTTTTCATAATGAGAACTTTCTATAACATTAGATAAGTTTTTTTTTTACTAATTATAGTCAAAATTATATGATGCGTATTTCATACTTAAAATTAACAAATTATATATATATATAGAACTTATTAATAAATATTTTATTTGTTGTATATACCTCGTTTATCAAAAAGATGTAGCTAAAAAAAAATTAATAGGAAGTTATTGTTTATAGTATTGAAATTGTGATTGCAAAATTCTTATAATTATGACATAAATGCAATAAAAATTATTATTTTTAAATTAATCAAATTAATCTTTTCATTTCTTTTTGAATATTTTCGTATAATAACCAATTAATATGGAATACATGTATGTATGTATATATATATATTTATATATATATATATATATAAACAATTTATCTCGCCAATAATAGACATTATTTTTTGCATCTGCTAGATTAAATGCAAATAACACAATAATACTTGAAATCTATAAAATTTCATTTTTGCAATTATTTGAGAACAATGAATACTAATTTTGATACTATAAGGAACCATGAATTTTATATAAATGGACAATGATTATTAATATCTATTTATAACATAATAATATACTTAAGTCATTAATTAATAATCTTTTGGCTCTTTCGAAGACATATATATATATATATTTATATATTTATATATATATATATTTTAAAACGTAAGCATTATAATTACTATCTACTTTATACATATTAACAAATGCCATGAGAATATTGTATAAATTACTGAAGAGTAAATTACATTCAATCGCATATTTTAGTTTTGAATGTATATATGTATGTATGTATATACCAGATATATTAAATACTGTACTTTTTCAAAAAATGTTATACAAGGTTTTCATCATATTTATTCAATATACAGACAGTACTGTAACTATGATTATATATATATTAAAATACTTCTGAATACATATATATATATATATATATATATATATATGTATATATTCAGAATATATATATATATATGCAATACCAATTACTTCGTTATTATACTATTGTATAATCTATTTGTTTTAGAAATTTTTTTATAAATAATATTAATAATAATAATAAACATGCGATTATAAAATAATCACAATTCCGTGCATATTTACAAAGTGTAAAGTGAGCTGCGTGTGTATACCTAACACGCACGTTGTATATAACATTGCTAGATTAACATATAATGGCACAAAATGTATTTTCATTTGTGTAATTTTCTAATAATAATATGGGTGCTAATTATAGATATGTAATGGAAATATACTTTTGCATCGATTGTGTCATTATTCAAAAAGTGAAACTTTTTTTATGCAAATTGAATAATACCCCTACGAAATTTTTGTTAACATTTAATATGTCTCTCACCTATATATAAAAAGATAAATAAAATTTACCTGAATACGAATAATATAGTTTTTACTTGGCATGTTTATAATTTGCAGTTTGAAATATTTTCATGTGTAAAAAAATATATATATTTAAAAAATGTTATAATGTGATAAACTTTGGAAGCAAATTATAAATAGTATATATGAAGTAAATGATAATCATATAAGATGAAATTCGTTTCTAATTGTGATCTATTCTTATTAAATATTGTTGATCTTTGAATATCAAGTCACAAAAAAATAATTACTATAGTCAGGTTGTGTAATAAACAGATCGATGTAATATGATAGTTTTCGAGAGAAAAAATTTAATACGTTTCGATTGTGAAAGCTTATTCTTTTTACGTAGCACTAAGTATCAAATTACAACGTTATTCAATTAAATTCTGAGAGCTGTAGTAATTATTTTCATTATTTTTACATACTTATATGTATGCCTCTATCAAAAAACTAAGTTCTAAATGATTACATTATCTATCGTTTTTGTTATAGATAATAAATGATTAAATCAGTATTATATTATGATGTTAAACAAATCTTTAGATTTATAAATGATTTTTTTTTCTTTTTCTTTTTTCTTTTTTTTTTTTTTTCTTTTTTTTCTTTTTTTATGTTTATATTTATGAGGAGCAATCTTTCATATAATCTTTCAAAAATTTGTTATATAGTTATTTTCATACCAAACAACTGAAAAAATACATTACATAGATTCATCACAAGTGCTGTTACTGGATAGTGCCATTTTTGAAAGACTGGAAAGACTTCGTCGAGGACTACTACCTCCTAAAAAGCTGCTGCTGGATTCAGAGAAGATTTTTCGGAAACTGTAAAAATAAATCAAATAGAATAATGATGGAATATATAAGAAATTAAACGATATATAATTTACAAGATATAATTAGATAATGCATACAATTTACGAATGCCAGATTCTGATGATTTTTTCCAAGGTGCATCATCTGGTTCATAAGGAAGAGGACCTTGTACAGGTGCATCCTTGTCATCTATAGGTCTGGAAAAATTATTAAATAAAAATATACGGTTTTTTTTTTTTCTTTAAATGATATTACAAATTAAATAATAAATCATTACAAAAACGTAATTCTTTAAACAAATAATACAGTAACATACATTTCTGGTTTTGGTCGATAATATTCCAATTCATCTTCCAAATCTGAAACTCTTGCTTTTAATTCGTTTCTTTCATGCAAGATTTCTTTTAGTTCAGCAGTAGTAAATCTGGGTCTATCTGGATCATCCAAATCGTATACAGCTTTATTTGTCAAATCAGGACATCCTTGTGATTTAGATAAATCTTCATTTTCTTTCTTGGCTAGTCCAAGTCTACCTCTAAGTTGTATTAATTCTCGATTTTGATCTTGCAATTGTGCTAAGAAATCTGCTCTTTCCTCTACAAGACCGCGTGCTTGCATTTGTGCTTGACGTTGCTTACGTTTTAATTCTCTTCCAACAACCCCAAGTTTTTCAACTTGTGATGTTAGCTAAAAAAAAAAACAAAAAAAAAAAATTATGAAAAAAAAACTAGAAATAAGATTTACATAAATGATCGATTTTTATACTCGCATAAATCGATAAATATCATTTTACATTTTCTATTTCTGAATTCTTTTGTGTAAGTTCTCGGTCCCTTGCTCTAATTTGATCACGTTGCTTATCTATCATAGATCTTAAATGTTGCAAAACTGAAACATCCACTTCTTGACTAGCTGTAAAAGCTAAAAAGCCAACATATATATAATCATTATGATTAAATTAAAAAAAGATTTATATATAAGATATTAATAGTAGTTATTGGGTAAGTGGTTAGTACTTTGTTTACCGCTGTACTGACTATCACTTTGTGATTCCCGTAAAGCTTCTGCCAATCGTCTATTCTCTTCTTGTAATCTAGTTACCATGCCAACTAAATCTCTTGATTCTTGTCTCCAATGTTCTTCAATTTGCTCCAACTCCTAATAGAGTTAAGATTAGAGGTTTTGATATTGATTTCTAAATATTTATAAAAATATGAATCATTACTTTTTCAAATCTTTGTCTGTCCTCAGCTTTTCCAATTTTATCGCTTTCAAGTTGTATAATTTTAGCCCTTAATTCTTGAACCGTAGTATTTTCTCTTTCATTTTTAATTGCAAGATTTTCGAGCAATTCTAAAGCGTTAATAACTTTTGGCATAAGATTCGTTACAGATTCAACGCCAAACAGATCTATAAGTTTCTCACATTCCTTTCCTATTTCTGAGGCAATATCATAGACATCTACTACCGAGACATCTGATACCACAGAATATTCTTCCATTGTAGAAGTATGATTGGGCTTTAGACAAAAAGGCATGAATAATACTTATATGAAAATTGTTTCCTTACATAAACCTAATAACAAAAAAAGATATTTAAAATATAGATTATAAAATAATATTTGGATTATATATCAATCCTATAAAATATATTTATAGCAAGCTAAATTTTTTATTAGTACAAATAGATATCGGTCAAGACATTCATACTTTTATCATTCATTTTTCATTTTGATTAAAATAATATAAAATTATTATTATTTATTGTATTATATTAAATTATTTGAAATAATAAAAAACAAATTGTCATAACTTTTTTTATGGATAGGAAAAAATACTTTAATTGGTAATATAATGAAAATTACATTTCTACGTACACGGATAACTTTTTTTTTATTGTAAAAACATTTTTTTCTAGCACACAAAAAATTTCAATTCAACAAGTATAATTTCGTCTACGCTTGATGACTAACGTATGCGATGTCAGTCCTTTTTTATATGAACTGTCTAATCCAAGATCTAAACTTGAGCATGACGAGGTTAAATCTTTTATCGCGGTTATCCTGTGACTCTTCTGATTGGCTATCTCTTCGATAATATCGATATGAAACACTATCGATATTACTACGATATTACGTATATGTCTATATACATTCTATTGGTAGCACTGACTCGAGATCATTTAGTCTATACACGAGTCCGTGTGCTGTCAGAAGATTTTATAAATATTACAAAAATGGACAAAGAATCTCGTAAGTAATAAAATAATAAAATAAATTTATAATTAACATATACGATAAATACGTATTTGTATATATATATATATATACATATAACTTATTAATTTAATATGCAATATTTTGTTTCTAGAAAATATATGTTTACCTTTATCAATTAATTTAACAAAAAGTGTTACAACTTATAAAAATAATGAACGATATCTTATAAACTTTTTACAAAACCTATTACCATCGTCTGATATAAAATCTGCAGCAGATGAATTGAAAAAGGTAATAAATTATTTATTTGTCAACATAACCTAAAAGATGATCGTTTTGAAGACTATTGCATTCATCGTTTTCTACATTCTTGTTATAGACTTATATATTTAGTAAACTTAGATCTAAAACTACGAGAAATATCAAAATTAAAAAGAAATTTTTAACTACGAGAAAACGGATATTACTTGGATTAGGTAAAATTAGCAACAAAAATGGTTTAAAATATACAGATCTATTACCACTCCATGAATTGTGGTTAAAATATATAAAGAATATTTTGGGTGATAAATTTTCATCCAGTGCGACTCATAATCCAATTGATTCTAATTGGGAGAATATAAATCAACAATTAATAAAAGCAGACTTTCATGGTGCTAAAATTTCTGTAGTTAAATCTAAATGCCCTAGTTTGGTCGGTATTAATGGTATAATTGTGCAAGATACTAAGAATACTTTCAGATTATGTAGTACAGATGATGTTATGCGTAGTGAGTATTAATATCATATTTATTAGCAAACAATTAATAAAGTGATAAATATAAGGAATGACATGAGAAAAATTGTTTTATCGTTACATTGTTATAATAAACGTTTTTATTATAGCCTTACCAAAGAATGCTATAGTAATAGAACTTTACTTACACGACCTAACGCTGCAAATATATGGAAAACAGTTGTCCGTAAGACCTACTGAAAGAACAGTCAAAAAATTTAAAAGCGCACATACCTTTGAATTATAACAAGCTCTAATTTATGTACAACGTATGATATTTTGTGCATCAAAGTACATATTATTTATAAGAAATCTTCCTTATAGAATAATATTCATGTTCATTAAAGTACATTTAATCAAATATCATGTAGAATAATACTTGAACACTATAACGCAATCTATTTGAAATGTAAATTTATATAAATAAAATCTACATATATACATGTGTATGTATATACGTTAAAAAATTAGGCATAAAACAGACATGTTCACAAAAACATCTATTATATAATAGCCAATACAATAATAAGTTATTAAAATACTTGAAGCCTGAGGAGCATTGTATTTCTACATTTTCACTATCTCAGAATGTATTTCATCTAATAAATAATATATTTTATATTCTATCACTTTTTTTCTGTTTTTTTTTTCTTTTTTGTTTTAATTTCATATCTTTATCCTACTAATGTATCATTTAAATATACATAATATGATTAGCTGATGCCATATATGCTATGAGCAAAATAATAAGGCAACTTTTAATAAAGATTGCTTTTCATTAAAATATCATTGTGAACTTTCTTTGCCACAAATTACAATTCCATTGGTTTTGGCGCATGGACTTATATCATTTATTACAGTTATTATAATTATTTATTTTTCTTATACCATTCACTCTGATATAGAATACGATATAATATATGTATATATATATATACTACTTACATGTTACATTGAATAGCAGTACGATATATAATTATATATATATACATATATATATGTATATGTAAATGTATATGTATATATATATAATTATTAACCAATTCTATTTTCAATTCAGTGTATTCAATAATTGATCAAAATTAATAATAATAGAATATTATGATATAATACTATAATAATTCCCAATTAGATTAGCACGTAAAATAAAAATATTAAACAATATATTTGTTTTTCTTTTTAACTTGAAAAAGGACGAAATAATTTTTGAAAATGTTAAACATTCTCATTTGTATCAACTTGACTTAACATATGTTCCTAAAGCTTGAATACTAAACGAAAGTTGTAGAATCAAGAACATTATTTCTGATCTCAAATGTTAATTAATATTTAAATGTATTGTGCCCTATATTTTACCTCGGAATCTTTCGTTAAATAACTTTCGTTTAATATCTTTTATGTATAACAAGGTTTTTGAAATATTACAATGCTTTTCTTTGTGATCTATGAAACGTAAAAATGTTGACTGAGATGTCTTATGTCGTGAAATAGACCTATTCAGGAACGTGACACGTAAGATATACCAGAAATACCAAAGTATAGAAATAGAGATAAAGATAGAATCACATATTGTACATTGAATCAAATATTAAATGTTTTGTACATTGAACATAAATTGATCAACAAGTTAATGTCATGATTGAATTATAACTACATATTTTGCTATCACTTTAAAAATCTATTTTGTTTGAATGATTATAAATACTATAAGTGTGTAACAATGTAAAGTTAATAGTTAAAATAAGAAACGTAGTAATAATAGTATATCAATGCATGGAATAAGTAGAAAACATTAAAGACTGTATATGTTCATACAACGAATTAAGAAATAATCTCTCTTTTATCCTATTACACTTGCATACACATCGACAATTTTATTTATATCCTTTGTGTATAATTTATTGCCATATTTCTTGGCTAGAAGTAAAAATGTTGTATATAATAAACAAAGACGTAAATATACAATCGAATAAATATATATATATGTATATATGTATATATATATATATGTATATCGATACATCAATATGATAATGAGACATTTTACAATCCGATGTTTTCACAGAATAAACAGAAATATTTTTTTAAATGATGAATCTTATTTTTTATTAGGCAATATTATAAAGCTTCTTTTCGTGTTTTATTACCAACATATATATATATAGATATACACACATATGTATATATATATATATATTACGTGCTACACATACAATATGTAAATCTCCAATTATCTCATAGCGTTGTTACATCCAGGCAATCATAGATGCATTTCAAGTTCCCTTTTTCAATAACTATATATATATATATATGCTTCGCAATATATCCTACTATTATAATGATGTATCGGAAACTTCTTTCTAATTATTTAAAGGAAAAAAAAAAAAGCAATAATATATAATAAATTAAAATTTATCTCCAATTATTTAAATAGTAATGTTTTTGAATAAACTGAGAATATTATGTATATATGACATTAACAATTTACTGTTCTTGGAACTATTAACTTAACATGAGTATAAAATTCACTTAAAAAAAAAAAAAATCCTTGCATGCGCTCACATTAATATATTTTATAATCAAAGGAAGCACTTTATAGCATGAGAGAAAGAAATTCAATAAATATAAATTTATAATACAACGTAATAGAGACGGCCATATATAAATGTAATATTAATTTTTTTTAAACTAAATTGTATAAACATTAATATATCAATCAAATTTTTTCATCTCCCTTTTGAACATAGTATACAACGCTACGTTATTTCCTACCATGTTGTATTTAATAACATGAAACAATTTATAATGAACTATAGAACCGACAATATGATATTAAAAAATATTTATACCATATCGTACACATTTGTCATTGTATTTTCTTTAAAATATTTATATTAATTAATACTTAATTTGCAATATGGGGTGCTTCTTATTTAAAAATGAAACTTTTTAATCCGGTTAGTAATACATTTAACAATTTAAGAAATGTTTACAAGATTTAATATAAACAGTAGAATGCTTGAAAATAATCTTGCGCTCGCGCTTATTATTTTCATTGTGTTACAATGAGATTTCAATACAACAGTATTTTTCTTCTAACACTTTTTTTTTTTTTTTTTTTTTTTTTTCATATTTTTCTTTTTCTTTTTTTTCTTTTTTTTTTATTTTTTTTTTTTTTTCTTTTCTTCTCTTCAGCAATTAATTATGACTAAAATCTAATAAAATAATCTTGTTTTTCCTAAATTTTATAGAAAAGTAGACTTTGTTGACCTGCTTTGTTTGATGCATTACATAGTGTATTTCAAATACCATACCCTTGATAAGCGGCTGCAGGAGGTGCGTACACACTTTGTGGAGGTGTAGCGTATACATTTTGAGGTGCATAACCAGGTGCCATCATACCAGGTCCTGCAGTTAGCATCAATTGGGGCTCCGCTAAAAATATGATGAAATCATTAATAATCATCATCAAAATATTATAATAATGATATCAGACATTACTCGGGCCTTTTTCTATACATTTTTATAAATATGATTCCATAATACTTACGCATGATCATAGGTTTATGTTCCTGATGATCAGTTTCTTCAATTCGACGACTTTCTGCCTCTTCTAACTTATCGACCTATATAAGCACGTTATTAAATGATAAATTATCAGATTTTTGACAAAATAAGAAAGAAAGAAAGAAAAGAAAAAAAAAGAAAAAGAAAAACATTAATATATTGTAATAAAATTTATAAATTTACCTTTACCTTAGTAATATATTCACGTGCTACTTGAATAAGATATGGCATAGCAAAAGATAATATACGATGTCTCCACGCTAATTCTAAGATAACATCTGGATGAAGCAAATCGTAACAATGGAATAAACATGCTGCGAAACAGTCTTTTGAACCTCTTTCCAAAAACCATTCTAATAATGCCTCAGCAACTTCTGCATCTCGAGATTCTGCAGCGTACTCCATAGCATCCCTATAAACACACAAAAAAAAAAAAAAAAAAAAAACATGATTAAAAATTTATATAGAAGAGATATAAGTATCCTTGAGAGAAAAAAAGGAAAGATTTATCTTTAATTTGTTGCAGCAAATAAAAAGCGTAGCGGTGTGAGTTTATATTTAGATTTTTTTTTTTTTTTAATCTAATTTTTTATCTAACGCGCATTGTACTTACCTGAATAATCTATCTTTTTTACAAAGCTCTACGGATTGCTTCCATCGATTATTTCCTTTGTATAAATATGCAGCAATTCTTCTGAACTCAATTAATTCATGCTTTTCCAATTGTTGTGCTAACGCAATATTATCAAAATTATCAAACGCGTCTATCGACGTTCTCAGGCCCTGATAATCTTCTTCGTCTATGAGCAAGCCATTTAAAGCCTCGTTAATTGCTTTATTATTAAGTGCTTGAACCGATCTCAAATAAGGTTTCACTAATTGCAAATGTCCAGTCCTTGTGAAATATGCAACTGCTCTTGTGTGATCCATTCGTGGTGCGAGTACAAGCAGTATATCATTTAGCAGCAGTGGTTTATACTCAACATAAAATTGTATAGCTTTATAATATAGTTCAACATTTGCCACTTTAGTAATTACATCTTTGAAGTGTCCCTCGCGCCAAGCTTCAGTAGGATGCTGCATCATTGCTAACACCGCATTATCATATTCTTCATATTTATCATATAAAAATACAAGCTCTGCCCATAAATGTGCTTGTTCGGCTGCACGAAGAACCTAAAACAATTAAAAAAAGAAAGAAAAAAAAAATATTGTCATCGGTATATCAATAATAATATATATAATTTCTTTGTATAGATAAACTTTTAATACCTTTGGTATATTAACACGCGACCAAAATAGTTCAAGATGTTCTCTCATTCTTTGAGGTTTGTATTTACTATACAATATAGCTAATTCCGTAAACATTCCCATGTGTGCTCTTTCTAATCCTAAGGCAGCTTCCAAAAGATTAATCAATTCTTCAAAATGTCCCCTGTCTTGATAATAATTGATCAAATCTTCCAGCTCATCGGCATGTACAACAATGTGTAAACCGCACATTTGTGCTAATCTAAATTCTCCACTGTCTACGCAAGCAAAACAAACTTCTTTCCAAGTACGCGTGGAGTTAGCCTTACGAGCACTATCCACGGCTCCTTGAAATTCTTTCAAATGAACTAATGTTATAGCTAATCGAGCAAAATTTGATACATTGTTATACAAAAGTTTTGCCGCTTCATACATTTTATCTTCGAAGCATCGATCACCAATCTATAAAAAAAAAAAAAAAAAAAAAAAAAAGAAAAATTAAATCACAATAAACAATAATAACAATTAAATATATTCATGAATGAATATAATACCTTTTGTATATCGGCATGATTAGGCCCAGAAATAAATTCTTCCAAATCGGCAAGTCTGTTGGTACGAGCGTATGCATAAATCAATTCACTTTCTATGAATGATTCGCGTGCTTTTTTACGTGCCATTTGTAAATAGCGAACCAAATCTTCCCAATGGGAAGTACGATGAGCAGTTTCTACTACATCGACGTATGCCGATGGATCGTCAGCTTTAATGAAACTATCAATAGCCTCTTTGACTAAACCCTGTTGTAATTGTGCTCTAGCTAATTGCGACCATACAGCTGGTTCGTTACATCTGTAATTATAAAAATTGAAATTAATTATTTTTTAAAAGGAATAATTATCATTAATTGTGTAATATCATTTGTAAATTTTATACCTCTCGGCAAATTCATATGCCCTATCGAGATTGTTTACTTGTTCAATAAGAACTTGTATAGCCGATGTATTAACATCAAATTTCTTGAAGATCGCAAATGCTTCTTCGTAAAGTTCATTATTAATAGCGATATTGGCAATGTCAGGCGCATCATAATTATCTAAACGATTGATATATTCCATAACGCGTGTGCGATCAGCCTTTATTGCTGTCAAAATCAAGAGATTCTGTAAATTACGATGATCACTAAATACACTGCTATCGAGTACTATTTTTTCGAGAAGTTCTATTAACTCATTTGGCAAATCAGCCGTCATGAATGCTTTTACAGTTACTGATATATCTTCAGGATCTTGGGTCTCTGATAATGCTGTTTGAACGATCTATAGAAAGAAAAAAGAAAAAGAAAAAAAAAAAACAAGAATAATATCGTTAAGAAAATGTTTCTACGTGTATATAAATATACGTTATAGTTAATTTTACCAACCTGATCGATCAATGGTCTCTTATATGGATTACCCTCTAATAAAACTTCAGCCCAAAGATCAGGATCTCTACGTCTTACTAAATATCTTGCTTCACTTTTGAAAAGACTATTTTCATTACAAACGCTTATTAATTCTCTATCACATTGACCGCGTTCATAAGCGATACAAGCTAAATGTGGATCACGTTTTTCACAATATTTCCCAACTACTCTGCTGTCGTAGAACTGATTTTCTCTAAAATATAAATTAAATAATAGTGAGTACATTCGTTTGTCTCTTTCTTTTTTTTTTTTTTTTTTTCCTGAGACAAATTATTCCTTCTCCATATTGTTAAATAATTATCACATTTTTATTGTATTATAACTTACTTGAGGAATCTCTCAGGATTATTGTTACTGTCAATATAAATCTTTGCCAATGCATTATGAGTAGCAGGTTCTACACATCCTTCATGAACACGAGATTCTAACCACGGTAATAATAATTTCAGTCGATTTCGTTTTTCAACTTCTTCTACGAGTTCATCGGTAGAAAATTGTCCTCGTACGACAAGAATTAAATTTTTAATAATATCTTCTGAACAATCAACGTCTAACAAACCACCTACTACAACAGGTAAACGTGATGGATTTACCTGAAATCAAACATTTGTAATTGTATGTTCATTGTTCAATACGACATATAAAAAAAAAAATAAAAAAAAAAACAAATTCGAATTATTTTGAAATAATAACTTACTTTTTGAACATATATTTCTATGTATTTTTGTAAATTGTTCCGATATAGATATAAGACTAGGTCATGCACAAAGTCAAATCGATCGCACACGATGATTAAGGGTAACTGATCTGGTAACTTAGCTTCTTTCAAAAAGTTTTTAACACGTTCAGGACTATAACAATTACTTTCCCTACATATACGTTCAACTTCTTTAATTTGATTTGTCTTGCATGCTGCCTGTATGTATTTGAAATGTACTTCTTGATCTTGACTGAAATTCACAATTGATCCCAAGAAGTAAAACAAGCCTTCGTAAGATTTGAAACTCTCGAACAAGTCTGTAAATATATTCATATATAAATATATACAGGATGCATATAATGATATAATTAAATAATTTTTTTGTTTTTATTTCAAAAATGAAAAAAAAATTAATTCACGCGTAAATTTTTTTATATATATCTATATATACCTATTAGTGCTTTAGTCGTCAATTGTTCATGATATTTCGTTGCAATTTGAATGCAAATTTGCAAATTTTGTCTTATGTTCGCCGTTAACATAGCTTTTAAGCATTCAAGAGAATCTTCTACGGACAATGTACCAAAGAATCCTACAAGCCAATCGGGTGATAATAAATGTGTATGAACAACCGCTCTCTTGATGTCATATAAATCCGTGTAATGTTCCAAAGCACGTTGTAATAGACCAGCTTTTTCACATAATTGTGCAACATGCGCTCTATCATAGTGAGTAAACATTTGATTGCCTAAAATTGCATCGGCTACTTGCGGAGCAGACATTAGATTCATTTCCAGGAGGCGTGTTTGTAAAGCTCCTTCGCTTGGTCGATTATTTTTAAGTGCATCTAATAAAAATGCTGTACATTGCTGAACCATATTTTGCTCCATAAATATATCTACAATCTACAAAAATTTTCAAATAAGATAAATAAAGAAATAATTAATAAAATGTTAATTAAATATCAATAAAATTTCATTGTGAATGGTAATAATAATTTTTAAAATAATACAATCACAAAACTTACTTGATTAATATCAGCTAAGGGCTCTGCATCTTGAACCAACATTTGTGCAAATGCTACGCCTTGGTCAGGATTAATTCTCATAAGATTTCTTAAAAGAAATATATAATCTGGAGTATAAGAAACCTTTTTAGCGTATAGAACGATCTTTTGAAATTGACCAGTCTCAGCGAAACACTGTATAACTTTGTTGGGTACATTAGCCCTTAAGTAAACACTTAAAGCAAGAGTGGGATCAGCTTGTTTCACTAAATCTCCCAATTCTTCGCTGCATTCAAGTTTATCTTCCTTTAACCATTTTTCAAGAAGTTGTTTACGACCTTGTACCAATACAGGTCTACATAATTCTAATGATTCATATTTGTTCAATTGTCCTTGATCAAGCAGAATTCCAAAATATTGAAGCAGTGGAGAAGTTTGACCCTGTGTAGCAGGAACCTGTAAAATGAATTTTTATGTCTCACTTAAGAAAAATAAATTCTTTAAAAGTTCAAGTTAATTTGAAGAAAATTAAACAATAAGTAGACTAAAACGTTTCTATGTATATTCACCTGCTGAAATCGTTGAATTGTGGCTGGAGTTCTTAAAATTCCCTTTGGAGCATTAGCGGCAACTTTAGCAGCTTCCGCGTATTGCCCATTTTGAAATAGCATATTAAATTTCCTTACAAATAAATCTTCGGCTCCAGACAAATTATTCCTTACTGCCATCCTCAAAGCCAATTCAGGATTTTGTAAGACTCCATTGATATATGGAATGATATTCTCTTCGTCCACGGATACAGATAAAACTTGACCCTTTCGATTTACACCGATTATACCACCAGAAGCTTCATGAGGCGCAGTAACAAAAATTGTTTCTCCCGAAATTCGATTCATAAATATACAGATTGCTGATTCAATATCATACATATGTATATAGCCATATTTTGTGATTAAATATATGACATCATATTTAGAGCTAACTTGCATGGCAACAGGAAAATCATTTCCCGCTTCTGGTGGAAAAAATACATCTACGGCCTTTTTGGGAAATGGCTGATTTCCAGAGGGAGGTTGCCCTACTTCTATAATATGTAGTTTTGCACCTTGAACTGTTCTAACGGCAAAACAAAATAAGTTACTAGGTTCTGGATTTCCTTCCATCTTAAATTGAGCAAAAGCAGCCGCATGTCCCTCAATAGGTTGAGAACATTTTCTATCTACAGAGTAAAGTTGCATTGCACCTACTACTCTGTTATGTTGGGCAGAAATACCAATTAATAATAACCATGTCTGTTTTGGATCTGTTCTATAATTAATTATTTGACATCCATTTAAAGATGAATGACGATCAAACATCTTAGTGGGTGTTGAATCTCCTTCCATCGACCAATGATAAACTGCACTCTCAGTTATTAATGCTAATGTATTTATAGATATCCACTTCCAAAAAACTACATCTTCTGTCATAGTATGGGCTTTCATCTTTGATTTCATTTCAATATTAAATATTTGAAATGTTTTCACAGCTAATTCAAATAGAAAAAAAAAAAATGAATATTAATGACAGAATGTATGGAATGTCAATGTATAAATTATATATTTTGTCATTAATTGAAGTTTTTCATTTTTTTTTTCTTTCATTTTTCTTTTCCTTTTTCTTTTTTTTTTTTTTCCAGATAACAAAATTTGGAGTTTTACCTTTGAGTGCAATAACTTTACTTGCAGGATTCATGATAACAGAATCAGCCGAAATAGGTCTTCTAGTAGGATTCGTAGAATCATTCATATCGATAATGACTACCTGGGAAGTATCACCCACTTTTTCTCTAACACAAATAAATTTATCCGATTCCATGGTGAGCGTGTTGAAGCTGGCATTGCTCGCATTAATTCCAACAGCAGTAAGCTACAAAAATGATACATTATAACGAAATGAACAACAATCTATTATCAGATATATAAAATGTTCCGAAAGAAAATTTCTATGATATAATTTGTAGTGATAATCAATAAATGACGAAACCACAAATTAAAAGAGTATTTTTAAAGTAAGAAGTATTTCAGAATCAAATTAATATTGCAACCATTAAAACAATATAATATCCTTATATAATTTCAAAGATGAGAGTCACACTTTGAAAGATAGAAAAAAAGAAAAGAAAAGAAAAGAAAAGGGATAAATGGAATAATAATTGAATTGAAAAGTGTAGATTAGGCGTTGAAAATTTTTCATTGGAGAAATTTGAAAGAAAAAAGAAAAAAAGAAAAAGGGATAAAAAGGAAAAAGACGGGGGGGGGGGAAAAGAAAAAGAAGAATGAATGAAAGAAAGAAAACGTAATTTTCAACGACAACGGAAGGAGGAAGGGGCGTACGTGTCGAGTAGACGTGGCCCTTGTCTCTCTTTCATCGCGTACTATTAGCAATAATCGATCTATTCTTTCGAACTTTGATTCCTGTTGGAATAACCTGTCTCGATGATAAAATAAAATCATAATACATCGATTTCGTCGACGTTATTAGAAAAAAATATTTTTTTGCGTCGTCTAATACAACGATAAGTTCTATGTATATAATATATAATAGAAAGATCAAAGAGTATATAACGATATACCTGTCAAAGTAACGTCATTTCAAATGCTCTTTTCGAAACTTCCGTTCTAATCGTTAAAATGCATTCGATATAAGTCGCCAATAAATTTATCTGTCCTTCTATCGTAGATATCGGAATAGAAAAAGGAGATAGAAATAAAATGGCAAGGATAAATCAATGGATCTGTATTAACGTATTATTTGATAATATAAAGAAGCATACGTTGTGAAATGAGAATTGAAAGAAAAAATAATAAAGAGAGAGAGAGAGAGAGAGAGAGAACGAGAGAGAACGAGAGAGAGAAAGAGAGAGAACGAGAGAGAGAGAGAGAGAGAGAGAGAGAAGAAACGGGTCACTTACCTGAAGATGTTCCTGAAACCTTATGGGTAGTAGCTGCGTCATTTTTTATAATTACTTCTCAACAAATTTTTACCTGGAAAGTTAATTTTTCTTTCTGTCTTTCTTTCTTACTTTCCTTCCTTCCTTCTTTCCTTTTTCTTTTTTCTTTATTATTTCTTTCTTTTTTTCTCTTTTATTTTTTTTCCCCTTATTTTTTATTAATATCGCCGCGAATATATCACGTTAGGATTATCCGACGGCCGATCAAACGTTTTTTTTTTGTCTATTTACAATCGTTCCCGGCTTTTATCGTGCGCTTTTTATTCTCGAAAAACCTTAGATTAACCATCAGAGCGCAGAAAACCAACTGACGCAAAGCGAATGCCGTCACTACTCGCCGCTGACACCCATCATGGCCGCTAAAGGCCGCCCCCTAACCAGAAATAGTTCCCCAAAAGCGGAAGTTTTTACTTACACTCACTTTATTACGATTTAAACAAGGAATTGTATATATATTTGATAGAAAAAAAAAATAATCTATATGCAGGCGAGATATCTTTTTCAATAGAGAAGATATAATACCATACGGTATTAGGACTGTTACCGAATTTAAATGTTCAATCGTCTAGCGTACTAGCGCAAGAATACAAGCTATCGGATTCTGTTCCGTGCTTCGAACGCCACCCCCTTCCTTTCTTCAGACCGTTACCCTCTCTCTCTTTCTCTCTTTCCCTCTTGCCCCACTTCATTCCTCTTTATCATTCCCACTCCACTACGTTTCTCTTTCTCGCACTATCGCTCTCTGTCTCTCTCTCTCTCTCTATCTCACTCTCTCACACTTCGTGCCGCCATCTTCATTTCTCCTTACGTGTAAGAGAGATAGCAAGACATGATGCATGTGCTGCTCTCTTATCGAACATTAATATTTCTTTTATAAAATTCAACCTTATTTCTCTTACTATTAACGAAACGCAAAAAAATTGGAGTAGCTTTATATATATATATATATATATTCGTATATAATTTAATCTTTAATTATACCTCGTCGAATAGCTTCCGAGATAATTTAAAATTTTTGTATTAATTGAGGTTATCTTTCATTACTTTCTTTTCTTGACTAAGTTATCTCTATAATTCTTTTAAAATTTTTGATGTTTCATATTCGATCCAATAGAATTAATAACGAAAATAAATCTATATCGTTAATTTTGTAAGGGATATAAAAATAATTAAAGATTTAGCAAATTAAAAACTGCTTTTATTCTACAGCAGTAGATCACGATACAAATGATATTTTGTACAATTTCATTATTCTCCTGCTGAAGAGAATCTGTTTTTTCATTTCTTATTCTGTTTAATCAAACAGACCAAAGCCCATGTCATCGTCGTCAGATTCAGATTCTTCTTTAGCTGGTTTCTTCTCTTCTGTTATAATGGAAATGTAAGTGTTAGTAGGGAACATTAACATGACTATTGAGAATATTATTTATTAATTGCAACTTTATGATCATACCTTTCTTTTCTTCAGCTGGTGCAGCAGCTGCACCTGGAGCGGCAGCGGCAGCCACTGGTGCAGCACCTCCAACTGGTAAAGCAGATAGTTTCTCACGACCTAAAATTAATTTATGATTTATAAAATCATGTTTATGTTTGATTCTTTATCGGTGATTCAAGTAAATCGTAGTATTCCAGTTTACCTTGCGCTATAACATCGTCAATAGACTTTCCATTTAATTCTGAAATAACTTTTTTCAATTTTTCCCCATCAGCTTCAATGCCGACTGAAGAAAGAACTTTTTCAATATCATTTTGGCTGGGAGATCCTTTCCCTCCCAAAACAGCCAAAAGATAAGCGGCCACGTAACGCATTCTAAAACAAATTTTCTTATCAATACATATATTCAATATCAAATAAAAATATTGAAATAAAGAATATAAATTTTCAGATACAAAAGTTACCATCACAGTAATCAGTCGAAAGATGGTGATTATTTAAATCATCATAAAATTTTACAATTTCAATAATTATTAGATTTATTTTCACGTATAAATCTTTTTTTTATTTTTTTTTCTAATACACTTTTACAAAATTTATATGTTTAATAAGCAAGAATACATATTATTGACCAGCAATTACAATTGTCATTAAATAATATTGTAATTACTTTTTTTTTTAATACTCAAGGTTACACATGTGCAACACAACACTTGAAAAAAAGTATCAAAATATATCTAGAACTAATTGCGTCAATCCTTGAAAATTATTTGATATTTATATTACATCATTTATAAATTAGATGTCGAAAATTATATTATTACAAATCAATACGGATTTCGATCTTACCTTTAAGTCTTACGACACGAAACGTCGAACACGCTCAAATGAAGTGATGTACAAATTGTGATACAAGCAACCTTTCACAGGGCAAGTGAAATAGGAAGTAGGTTTTCATACATACTGCAATTCACTATAAAATTTATTTCCGGTTCAGTGAAACATTTAATATATTCGACCAATCCCTGCAAAGAAAGTAACGAATATTAGCCAATCGGATTCAAGCGAGTTTCCAAAAATTGTTAATGCTGCCCTCTAGGTAGAAATACAGACAGCCAATGAGCAACCAGTTCAGGTATCTATAATTAGAATATAACAATAATGCACACATGTTTTAGTTACAAAGTTACAAAAATTTGTAATTACTACGAATTCTACAATTAATAACAAAAGATTTGATATATTAATTCAATATTACAATAAAAATGAATGCTTTACGTTCACTGACAAAAGCATTTGTTCTAAATAGAGGATATAAAACTGTTCAATTAGAAAGTTAGTAAATAGTTACTTTGACATAGTATATTGTGATGTATTTTGTAATTTTTATTTATATTTATTAAAATTTGATTATTTTAGCTAGAAGATTTATAAAACGATGGGTTGCTCCAACACAAATGGAAATTACAAAAAGGAAAAAAAAGATTGGGACACAGATAGAACCTATTCGTAGTAATTTTCTGGAATGGAACAGAAATGCAGAACTTTATGCATTTAATGAAAGACTTAGCGAAAAATTTGATCCAGAATTATTAGAACAAGCATTGATTCATAAATCTTACGTTATTAAAGAAGAAGAAATGCAGAAGCAACAAGGAATATCAGATCCTAAACTTAATCTAAGGGATAATAGAGATCTTATACAAGATGGAAGAGATTTTGTTTCTAGAGTTGTACACAAATATTTACTTGAAAGTTTGCCTAATTTACCAGACGATGGTATTATGTACGTTTAATAATTTCTATATATTTTCATAATATTAATTCTTTTATGATCAGAATTAATATCCTAATAATGATTATATCTGATCCAAAAAAATATTAATTAAAATTTTTATTATATAGGAGTATTCACAGTTATCTCTTAAGCGAAGAATCATTGGCTAATTCATCTTTACACCTTGGAACAACAGATTTAATATTAACTGAAGTATGTATTTGTAAAATTGCCAGTTTTGTATTAGAATATCATTATATTTTAATTATTTCTTTTTTTTTCTTATTATTAATAATGAGATATAATTTTTAGGAATATCCTGTTTCGAGCAAAACATTAGCTGATACATTTCTTGCCCTTGTAGCAGCTCTTGTTCAAAGTGTTAATGCTAATCATGCTGCTATATTTGTTCGTGATTTTTTAATAACAATATTAGCAGAAAAAGAGCTTCCTAATATATGGTGTCCAAGTAATCCTCTACAAGAATTAAATGATATTCTTTTGAAAGAAGGCAGAGGACCTGCAGAACCAAGAATCATTGGAGAAACAGGAATAAATACTCTTTTGTCGTCGTATCGTATTGCGGTTTATTCGGATAAACAATGTTTAGGTATTGGTAAGTATATACGTTTTAAGATAATCCATACCTATTATGAAAAATATATTTTTAACCATGTGCTCATTATGTCAAGGATGTGGTGCAAATATTCAAGAGGCAAAGGAAGTGGCTGTAATTAATGCTTTATGCAAAATATATGGATTGTTAGATTCTAGTCGTCCTATAAAATTTGACAAAGTTATTGAGATGGATTAGCAATAGATGGTATGATACAAATTTTTAAAGTAATATAAAATAAGTAAAAAAATATATAAATAAATAAATAAATAAATAAATAATAAATAATAAAAAAGGATATATATATATATATTCTGAAGTACATGCAACTATTTACACTAAATTATATTACAACTTTCTAACTTATTATTGCCCGAAACTGATTGGTCCGTTCTTGATTGGTTAGAGCCAATAAGAATTGAGGATTTAATAGCGACGCCATCTGTCATAAAAATCAACAATCACAACTTTTAAAAGGATCACAGTAAATCTAAGTTACGTGTAAACCATGATATATTACAAGAAGAGAAATGTGCAATTAACTCATTGTTCTTCTGCTGACTAATGAACGTTGCTCGCTCAGTTGAAAAACTTTGACGAAGTTTTTTTTTTTATCGATAATGACGAGATCAAGATAGAAAAAGAATTTAAGTCGTCGTTTGCAACATTGACGATTACATCAAAAGTTGAAATAAGAGAGAAAGAGAGTATCGAAATATACACGGAATTATTATAAGAGTAAACAGAAAAGATGTATAATTCTACGAAATAATTTATTAAATTCGATCTAAAAAGAAACGTAAAAATTGGTGCGTAAAATAAAATCATTTTAAATATGTATTTAAAAACAAAAAAAAAAAGAAAAAAAATTCTTACAATTTAATCATGAAAATCGACGAGAGCAATAGCGTGACGTAGCGTGAATAATGGCTAACATATATATACACATACGTATATACATAACAAACATACTCTTGTGTTATTACTGGGATGGGCGCATGTACATACATATATGACATACTCATACATAAATACACATATTCTTACACGACATGTATATATATATATATATTTAAGATTTACCAATGATATAAAACGTGATTCTTTCTTTTTCACGCGTTGAAATCAACTGAAGAATTGCAAGAAAACAAAATGGCGACGGTTACTTATACAAAATGATTTTCAACCAAAAATGTTCATTCAAATGTTTTTTCTTTTTTTTTTTCTTTTTTTTTTTCTTTTTTTTTTCTTTTTTCATAAATATATTTTTTCTATAGACATATTATATATATATATATATATATATATATATATATATATAAAATTCTCTCTTGATAATTACTGTTAATAATACTGATGAGTAATAAACGAAGTTATTGATAAATATTAATACAGGAATATTTCCGTTATTCCAACTGGCGCAATGTATATTTTGATCGCTTCTATTCTTATACTTATATATATATATATATATATACACATGTATATATATATATATATACATATATATATATACATGTATATACACACTTAAGAAGTTGCATACGGTATACATAAGTTTTATACGTATCTACACACTGTAGATTGGTGACGTGTATTCTATAATAAATAGAAAAAGTTAGAAAGATAGAGCGAGAAAGGGAGAGAGATAAAAAGAGAAAGAAGGAGAATCATGAAATGTATTTAAAAATCAGTATAGTCTTTTCTGAAGTATTCAGATGGATGAATTCCATTCGTCTTTCTGAACGTGAAAATATTCCGTTCTTCGTGTCTTTTCTTTCGTGCTATGCAACGGAATATATATATATATATATATATATATATATATATATATATATATATATACACACACAGATGCATAGGCATATTCCTATGACTACAATGCACACATACACGTGCGTACGCGCGCGCACACGCCAACATGTTTTCTTATAGTTAAATAAACGACGAATGCATACGAACAATGTTTAATGAGTATAAATTTACTTACAAATCAATATTCATAGATATATATACATATATATATATATATTTATTTATATATATAGGTATCGTTGCGTTAACATTACTACGGAAAAATAGTTTTCTTCTTTTTTTGTAATTTTTTTCTTTTTGCATTCTCTTTAACAGATTTAATCGTTTATCTAAACCATTCATATACATTATTAATATTATTAAGGCCCAAAAGTTTCTAGGAACCAAAAAGTTCCTATGTTTGTATAGTTTATAATTTGAAGAAGAAAAAAAAAAAAAAAAAAAAAGAAAGGAAAGAAAAAAAAAGTTAACCTATAAAAAGTCTCGAAAAAGAATAATTGATCCGTAAAATCACGTAGAAACATTTTTGGCCTCCATCCTGCGTGATATAAGAGGACATACATACATGCATGTATATGTAAACGTCTATAAATCTTTACTTTCATTCGATACAATTTTCTCTTGAATCTTATTTTCTACAGCAAAATATCAAAGAAGAAAAAAGCAACGAAAAGAAGAAAAAAAAAAAAACAAAGAACAAAAGAAAAAGAAAGAAGAAAAAGAAAAAGAAGAAGAAAAGTGAGAAAAATAATTCCAACGAAAATATCACAAAGATCATATCACTTTCTCTCTCGCGAAGAATAAAATACTAAAACGTGACTACTGGAGTCGCAATAAGGAATAGATATGTAATGAGAGAGAGAGAGAGAGAGAAAGAGAGAGAGAGAGAGAGAGAGAGAGAGAGAGAGAGAAAGAGAGAGAGAGAGAGAGAAAAAGA